GCTGAGGGCGGATCTTTGTGGGGAGGCTGTCCCCACTGGCCAGGGCCAGCAGAGGCAGAGCATGACATGTGGCCCTGTTAGTTCTGCCCAGGTCCCCCCAAGCCTGCAATGCACCTCCATGTGTCAAGGTCACAGGATGAAAGACCCTTCACATCTCTTCCCTGGTGCTGTAGGCTGTGACCCACCAGCCACCAAGGGCTGGGAAGGGCACCTGGGTGAATCCAGTCCCCCTCTCTCAGGCCTGGAGTGGGCCTGTCCCCTACTTCACCCACTTTCAAAGCACACGGAGCCCCACGCCCACCAGCTACCACTTCTCAAGCCCAGGGGCCTTCTCCCCCTGTGGCTCCAGGACCAAGGCTGGGGACAGCGTAGGGAAAGTCCCTCCATCTCTGGACAGTCAGCTCTGAGTCCCAGCTGGTCTAGGAGCTACGCCTGCTTCCCCATGACAAGAGACCACAGCCTTCTGAATTCCAGCAGAAGGGTCTTCAGAGGGCCTCTGGCCTTCCCAGGCCCCAACTCCCTAGTGGACCAGGATAATATCCCTTTCAAACCACATGGTGTTCGATTTGGAAGGCACCTTCCAATCCTCCTATTACTCATTCGATTGCAAAAGAAAAATCGGAGGCTCAGAGACAGCTGGCCACTTACACAAAGTCACACAGCTAGTGAAGTGCAGAGCCAGAGACCCAGCAAATCGCCCTTCCCACTGTGAGAGCAGGTCTCAGGCTTGTGTGTGCGGAGGAAAAGCGGGCGGTGGGGCGTGTTCACCTGCAGGTCTGCAGCCTTGGCCCGGGAATCTGCATTTTAACAAGCGCTCGGGGGGTTCTCACCCAGGTGGACGCTCACCCAGGTGGACGCTCCACCCTGGAGCGCCAAGTCTCTGTGTCTCTGCCGCCTTCCCACTTGCTGGGCTGCCGTGAAGGGACAGCCTCAAAGAGCACCACACCAGGGACAAGAGTGTCATCACTGCTGCCTCCTGGTCTCCTCCAGACACCCCCCACCCTTCCCTCTGTCCCCTGGCAGGTCACCTGAGTGATTTCCAAGGTCTGGAGCCCTTTCTGCTTAAAGAGAGATCATCACTGTCCCCTTGGGGACCACTGCCCCCCAACAGCTTGGGACCCCTTTACCTCAGGGGAGAACCATCAGGCCAGGCATAGAGCTGGGGCTGGAAAGCGGAGGCAGCCCACAGTCACTCCAGGGAGCTGAGGACAGGGGAGCGAACGTGCTGGGGGTGGTGGCACCCTCCTTTCCCACATCTGGGAGAAAGGCCAGGCCCGGGGCTGGACGCCCTGGAGTCCAAGCCCATCTCAGCCCCTAACCACGGGGCCTTGGGGGCCTCTTCACCTTATTGGGTGAACTGTGGACAAAGCCACCTGCCAGGGAGGGCTGCTGTGGTCACAGAGGCAGCATTTGTACCTGCCACGTGACGGACACCCAGAGGGCGGGGTGGCAGAGCTGCTCGGGTAAAGTGAAGGACACCCCCTTTAATGTTGAGTTCCAGAAAAACAACAGATAATTGTTTGTGTACGTCTGCCCCAAATTTTGCACGGGACACATTTACATTAAAATATCGCTTGTTGTTTATCTGGAATTCAACATCCATCGGGCGTCCTGGGTTTTTGTTTCGAGGCTGTGTTGGGGTTTGCTAACTGGCACTTGGGCACACGGGCCTCGCTGAGCCTCTTCCCTCCAGGAGGGCAGTTCCTTCCCACGCCTCGGACTCTGCCCTGCCGCAGCCTGGGCAGTGGGAACCAGAGGGTCTTGCCAAGCCCTTCCCTTCCTCCCCGGTTTGCTCTGAGGCCAAATGCTCCCCCTCAGTGCTGTGGCCACAGGGGAGGCTTACCTGGCAGAAGAACACATTTTTGCAACTGTCAGAGCTAGTCAAGGTCACAGGGAGAAAGCGCCGGCTCCCTCCTGCTCTTTCTTTGAAATCCCTCCCCTGGAAGATGCAGAGCGTAGAAAGGCCTGGAGCTTGTCCCCTGTGAAGGCTGATTTTCTTTGGCTCAAAGTGGGTGGTCAGCATGGCAGGGCTGGGAGCCAGGAGGAGCCGGTGGGGGAGCGGTCTGTGCATCCCCCAGCGCTGTGAGATCTTGGGTAAGTCACACACACCACTTTGCAGGGCCTCCCAGTTACAGCGGACGGCACCGGCGGCACCAGCTGCTGTTGCAAGCACTTCATAGATAAATAACACCCTCCCAACGTTCCCAACAGCCCCCTGAAGAGCAACCCTATCATCCCCATTTCACAGATGAGAATTTTCTTGTGGCCTGAGCGCACAAAAAGGCCATGCATCTAGGAAGAAGAATGGTGTGCAGATCAGTGCCAGAGGCAGGGATCCCACCCTCGACCTTGGCCTCTGGGAAAAGCGCAGACTGGGCAGGGGCTGCGGGGAGAGAGACACGGTCATGCAGTTGTCCAGAGGTGAGTTCTAGCATTCCTCAGCACAGGGGGTGGCCAGAGTTGGCAACCACCTATAGTATATTTTATTAAGTAATTCACTTTTTTTAATACCTTTATTTTGTTTATTTTTATGTGGGGCCGAGGATGGAACCCAGGGCCTTGCACATGCTAGGGGAGCGCTCTACCACTGAGCTACATCCCCAGCTCCTACTGTATATTTCATAAAGAACTAGCAGAGAGGAATTCAAAGTTTCCCAGAACAAAGAAATGATAAGTGCTCAAGATGGAAAGGCTAATCATCCTGATAGGACCACTCTGCCTTGTGTGTCACGTTATCACCGGGTACCCACAGATACACACAACTATCAGGTGCTGATACAAATGTTTTTAAAGTGTTTCAGAAGCAGCGTACCTGCAGGAAGGAAGAGGTGACGCCCCCCCCCCCTGGGCACCACTGGGTGCTGGGCACTGCTGAGTCCTTGCCCAGCTGGTCTGTTCAGACCTCACAGCAGGCAGGAAGAGAACGACGTCACTACATTCTGAATTAAGAGGGAGGAAAACTGAGGCTGAGAGAGGTCGGGGGCTCACCCAGGATCATACCTCTGAGTCCAGACCTGAACTCGGGTCTCTCCCTTTAAGGCCTGTGCCACTTCCTCACCACCCACCCGCCTCTGGTTTTCAGGGCCGGGGCACTGCTCTGGCTAACAATGAGGGCAGGGAGACCCACAGCCACTCTTGCCGCTGTGTCCTGGAGGTGCCCTCACGCAGCCTCTATCCGTCCTGATTGAATGAGATCAGTCCTCCCCCAGCCTGCCCTGTCCAGAGCCTCTCCTTCCTTCTCCCCAGCCCCATGTAGCCCCTGGTGTCTGTTGTATGCCCTGAATGACAGACGCTGGGGGAGGGCCTGTTCCCATTCCCATCACTCCACCTTCTCCCACATTACCTGGTTTGGATGCTGCCAGCCACTCGGTCAGATGGACCACACAGCGTCACCCACAAGCAAGGTGAGGCCCAAATAAGCTAGGGACATACCCTGACTAGCCCAGGTTTTAAGCCAGGACTCGAACCCAGGATTTCAGATTCAAATCCAGGGCTTTGTGGAGATCTTAGAGGTCAGCTAGCTACTCTAGGGACGAGGAGACTGATGCACAGAAAGAGTAAGTGGACAGTTCAAGGACCCGGCCGCCCTCAGCAGAACTGACCCTGACACCTCTGCCCCAGCACTCGCCCTGCTCTGGAAGAGTGGGAGCCTGTTCTACCAAGCAGACCAGCAGTGGGGCAGAGGCCAGCCCACCAAACGGAAGGGCCAGGGCAACCAGCACCACGGTGTGCCCCCATCCCAGCGAGCCCCACAGCCCACTCCTGTCACCAGCACAGCCTTCTGGTGGATCAGGGGAGCGAGGCAGGAGGACAGGACAAGTTTAAAGCTGGGGACTCTGTACCCCACAGAGCAGATCTTTTCAGAATCTGTGTACGTGGTAGAGCCAGCCCAGAGTGAAAGGCCAGCTCGGGGGCCTCTATCTACTGGGGAATGGCCACCCCAATACCCAGGTGTGCCAATGGCAGCGCAGAACGAACAGGTGAACCCAGGAACTTTGCATCCAGGTGAGCAGCATCTCTGAGTTCTCAGTACTTGAAATAAAAGGTATACTGCAGCCAAGTCTGCACCTATATCGCCTTTTAAAACATGTGCCTTACAGTGCTGGTCCCCAGTCCTCTAAAGCCTTGGAGGCAAGGTGAGAGGCGGGATCTGGCTCAGAGGTCACTGTGGGCACGATGCTCACAAGCTGGAATCCATCCAGTGTCCCCCGTGGATGCTGGCGTCCCTCCTCAGCGCTGCCCTAGCGCCCCTCCCCTGACCTTCCCAAAGCCCCTAAACTCTGGGCACCCTGTATTCTTAGTATGTACATCCAAGTGGGTATGTACATACAGGTTGGTCCTGGAAGGGTCACCAGGAGAGCAGGGGATCCCACAAGCTCTGACATTTTTGTTCGGCTTTTTCACATCTGGGCTGAAAAAAACCACAAACCCATAAATCATTACTGCACGACTGGCTGACGCTGCCTGTATTCCTCCCCAGGAATACTCCGCTCCCCTTTTAGACAGAGCAGCAAATTGGAGCTGGGAAGCAGAGACACCGGCTTAGGCTTCAAGGATGCTGAGCAGCCTTTAGAACTGGTGGCTCTTCTCCAAGGTGCTGGGAATGTGCTGTTTCCCACAGATGGAGAGCTTTCCACTTAGGAAGGACCCACAAACAACTGGAACCCAGCTGTCCTGGGCCTGGTGAGTTGATCTGCCCAAGAGGGGCACAGACCTGGCAGGAGAATTGGCGGGTCCCAAACTTGGGAAAGTGAGTTGATGAAGAAAAGAAAAACAAACACCTAGGTCAAGAGGCTCCAGCCCCCTCCTGTGTGTGCCTCTCCTCTTTCCCAGTAGAGTTCAGGGAAAGTCCCTCTCTCCAGACCCACTCTCCCTCGTCCCTTGCTGATGAGCCCCCAGACTCCTCTTCCAGGCTCAGCCCCCTGCGGGGCGGGCAGGAATCCCGGCTGCGGTGGCCTCCTCCTGCTCCCGCTGCCTCCCGCCCAGCCTGCCCAGCTCACCTTTGGGCAACTTGGACGTGTTCTCCTGGATCCAGGAAAAGAGATGGGCAAAGTCACAGTCGCAGAGCCAGGGGTTCCCGTCCAGGCGCAGGGTGCGCAGCGCCGGCAGCGCGTCCAGAACCGCCACGTTGAGGCGGCGGAGGTTGTTGTCGTTGAGCTCCAGCACCTGCAGCGACTCCAGGGTCTCGAAGGCGGCCTCGTGCACGCCGGCCAGGTTGTTGTTGGCCAGGCTCAGCTTGACCAGCCTCCCGGCCGAGCGGAAAGCGCCGGCGCCCAGCTGGGTCAGGTTGTTGTAGCTGAGGTCCAGGAACGCGAGCTTGGCGGAGCCGCTGAACGTGCCCTCCTCCAGCGAGCGCAGCGAGTTGTTCCTGAAGTCCAGGTAGACCAGGTCGCCGTAGAAGATGAAGAAGTCCTCGGGGATCTGCTGGATGCGGTTGCCGGCCACCAGCAGCTTGCGCACGTCCAGGGGAAAGGGGTCGGGCACGCTGGGCAGCCCGCGATCGCGGCAGTCCACCGTGTGTGGGTCAGTGCAGGCGCAGCCCGCGGGGCACGCGTGCCCAGGCCC